GGACTAGCTAGACTCGCATATCAGAAATGTGACCTCTTTTTCTAGCAGTGACACGGACTTTTACCAAGTTACAGCAGGGAAATCCTTTCCGGTCCGTGCCTCAGTTTCCCTTGTCTCTCACAACGCCTCCTCCCTGTTTCTTACCCATTTCGGGGGGTTTTGTGTGGCACCGGGCTGGTGTAGCGGATGTGGGGGACCGGATCCTGACCCGACTGTCCACTTGAGACACGGGCGCTGTGGTTGTAGGCTTGGAAAACAGCCTTCTGGTGCCAAGGCAAGCCATCTCCTCCGTTGTGGGATCACACCTGGTCATTTGGGAGAAGATCTGCTCTCCCCCTGCGCTGGGGCGAAGGGTGGACTCTCACCACGGGACAAAGCGGTGGGACCAGAGGGTGCCAGTTCCCACAGAGCAACGCGAAGGCGATGGTGGCAGATCGGAGCCGACCCGTTCCAGCCAGAACCGGAGATGCTCGGAAAGTGGCTTTGGCCTCCATGAAGGAGGCGAGGACTCGAGTTACAGCTCCTGGGTCTCCTGGAAGGACCCGCCTAGGGGAGGACCCAAGGAGGGACGGGCTCCTGGCAGCTCTTGCAAACTTGCCTCCCAGGAGCCAGTGTTTCGGAGCGGTCCGTGATGGACTCTGGGGCTGCAACGCTTGTCTGAAACTTTCCTGTAAGGCACTTGGCTCTTTTTTTTTTTTTTAATTTTTTATTTTATTTATTTTGTTGTTCTCCTTGCTTGGAAAGCACCTCTGCCCTCCAGAGATGGGGATCTCCTTGTTGGAAAGCTGCCCTGGCTTCCTGCGGTGGGGAGGGCAATGCTGAACGTCGGGGTTGGATGCGGTGGGTTGTGCTTTCAGGTAAGAACGCTGTTCTCCGGAGTAAAAGCTTGTACTGTTTATGGCTTAAAAATAGAGCAGTGGTTTGCATGTTTAGCCACGTAAATCCGTGTGCGGCAGACATGGGTAAAACAGGTTGGATTTGAGTCCCTGCGAGCCTTTCTAGATCCATTGTTCTGTCTTTATCAGCACTGATTGCAGTTATTAGTGGGAGCATAAATTCAGCCATTCATCCCCGTTCGCTTCCACACTACGCCGGCTGCGGGTCTGTTCACGAGTGTTGACTGTCTCCCCAGATCTCAACGAGCTGGCCAGCGTTTTCCACTTCTTGCAAGCCAGAGGCGTTGGAGGAGGGAGGACGCTCGCACCTTTCCTTTCTGTGTAAAAGGACTCTGAACTTACCGTGAACCTGGGGCAGTAATTAACTGAGTAAGAAAGGAGATGGCGTACGCTTACAGATAACGCTGGCGAGGGAAAAAAAGGCACTTTCTGCGCTCATTTTGTGCGGTGGCTCCTACCAAACTGCAAAAGCCGTACGTGATTTTCCAGGGGGAGAGACTTGAGCAGAGTTGGAGGCAGCGTGATTAGAGGAGAGGCTGTGTTTGCCTATTGCTCAAGGAAAGGGGCTGCCGAACTGTTGCCGCACGCAACTGGAGGCTTGTTTTACCGAGTAAACAATGCTGGTAAGGAAAAAAAATCTCTTAAGATCCTGCTGAGGAGTGTAAGGCCACGGAAGGGGGTTGCTCGGACACTGAACAATAGATTCATCCAGCTCCTTTGTGCATCATGGCACCAGCCTGACTTTCTGGCTGCTCGCTGCCGTGAGCTGGGTGTTTCTCTTCCCGCTGGAATTGGGATTTGCGGCATTGTCTGCCCTTGATGCCGAGGTCAGTTTTCTAATTGCAGGGTAGCAGTGGAGCGACACGCCAGCTCCCTGGACCATCGCGGGCATTAACCTGCCCATCCCTCCCGGACCTCACCCAGCTCACGGTGCTGCGCGGGTTTAGTTTGTAACCTGCGCAGGTTTCGGAGGGATTTGCAACTCTCAAACTTCTCCCCGTGCTCTTGCCTAAAGCAGCATTTCAGACGCTGTCATTAGGATTAACGCTGAGGGGCTGTTTCTCTAAATTTGGGTATTACACGTGGGGAACACGGCGCCTTTGTGGGGTTACGCAGCTCTAATCCCCTCCCCCAGTAAACATGCCATCGAACCAGTACTTGTATAACGCTTTGAGAAAAGTTCACCATTTGCCAGCGAGCGTGCAGTCTTGCGGAGGAAGTTTATGGGGCCTGGCATAGCTGGGGAATCTGTAATATTTGCAACAAAATAAGATTGGTCTCTGTAATTTAGTGGGAATTTTAAAGCTAGTCTTATCTGGGTTTAATTTGTCTTGGTGCCAGCTCAAAAACTACTGAGAATAAGACCTACATCCATCAACACATTATTTCACTGTAGTGTTTTAATGTTTCTTAAAAATTAAAGCGTAGTGCGAGCTGTCTTTGTGCTAGTGATCATAGTGATGCACAGGCAGGTGTCTGTTCCATTATGATCTTCATTGTATCAGATAAATTTTATAGCGGAGGGGAAAGCACATGCTACTCCACAGTGAAAATGTGAATGGGATTAAATGACCTTTGAAACTTCCTTGTTGGTGTGGCTGGGTGGTGTACGGGGTCCTCCCATGCCATTTTGGTCTCTCTCCTTCCCCACTTTCTTCCCTGGGCATCCGCCTGTCTAATCTTAAAAAGGTGAAACGACTTGTCTAACTTCAGCAGCAGTTTCCTTTATGATTTGGGACGAAAGCTTTGGAAAACGTTTAGAGGAAACTGTTTTGCATAAGAGTGGCCCAGCCTTGGATTTGGTGCCTCCCCAGGTACCCCCTGTGCAGGTGGTCATCTACCCGATGCACAGCGGGTTGTGTTCGTCCTCTTCCCAGGCTTCCCTCCCTTCCTCCTCCTTCCATCGCTTTCCGCTGTTCAAGCCCAAATCCTCCCCACTTACCCACCACGTGGCATCTCCGCAGAACCCTTTTGGTTGCTTCCATCCCCCGCGCTGTGTTCGGACCACACCGCTCCCCTGAACAGCTCTACGGCTCTGGATCTACAGACATCCCATCACCTGAAAAGAGAGGGAAGATGGACTTTTTATACAGCACTAGCCTGAGACCCCGTCCCCTGGGGCAGGTTGATTCTTCCTCTGCCTCCTTTTCCTTTTTTCCCCACCAATACTTGTAAAAAATAATTATTTCCCCATTCAGCGGATCTTAAAGTTGGGTTGTATGGCTTTCTCCCCTGATGGTAAATCCAGCCATACTCCGAAGCAGGCTGATACAGAGCCCATCGCACAGCGGAGATCAGAAGTTCAGCTGCAGGTACGACAGGGTTTCCTTGTTTGCACAGCCGGGGATGCGTGCGGGCAGAGGTGGGTGCGGTGCCGGTGATAATAAACTGGCCTGCCTGCGATAATCTCGCCTCCCTCTTGCTCACAGCAGGCTGGCTGCTACCCGGGGGGAAAAAAAAACAACTCTGCTGCCCAGAGAGCGGAGGAAGGTGCAACTAATTAGGGCCCCTGAGCTGTGTTTTGGTTTCGGGGTGATTAAAGTGAATTGTGAGTCAGGTACTTTGGGGTTTCTCCCTGTCTGAAGAGGACTGCGCTCTTGCCACGCGCTCCGCATTAAGCGTCCTCTGAAATGATGGTTGAGCTCATGAGAGAACGGGGAAGAACCAGTGACTTCATGCGCGGAGCGCACCAGGGTAAGGAAAAACTGTGTCATTTTTCAGCACCTCGGTGCCGCAAGGAAGGAGGCTCCAAACTGGGTTTGCCTGTCCCAGCGGGGACCGCAGCCAGCCCTGACTTGAGATTTCCAAGCTCTTGGTTAGGAAAGGAACACGAACATCTGCTGTGGGGTGTAATGATCGGGCTGCTTCTCATCCCTCGGGTTTGTTCATGGTGCTGTATTTTTATTTTTTTTTTTCATGTTTTCATTTATTTTACGGACAAGTAACACAAGCGTCAATTATCGGGTTTAAATTCTGACTCTGTAAGGTAAAGCATCTTTTAACTTAACCTGCTGCTTCATGCTCGGCTGTCTGCGGTACAGGAAGTTAATTACCAGAGAGGTCTGTGGGCTTTGCAAATTAACACTTAACGTTATGATCCAGGCAAATGGCTTGTCTGGTCTTGCTCCCAGTAATGCCCAGTGCGTCAGAGACATGTGGAAAGCCCTTCTTGAGACTTAAAACATCTTTTCCTATCAAGGTTTTCTACCGATTTCAATAAGTTTTGAATCGCAGCCTTGTTCCAGACCTGGAAGGGAAGAAGGGAGTCGGTTCCCTCGTTGCACAGGTGACTTACCCAGTGATGCTCTGGGTGCTGACCCACACACCGCTGTGTAGCTCAAGTGCTGCGGGGGCTCCAGACGATCCCACTCTTCCAGAGATCCAGCCCCATGGTTGTATGCGCGGGCTTCTTGCTGCTGCTTACTTTTCAGGGCTGAGGAGTTTGTTTCTGCCCAGCTCTAGGTGCTCTTTGCCTCTCAGCCCAGTTTGGGAAGTACTCACCTGGTTTGGAAGGATTGGTAAGTGCCGTGCAGAGAGCAGCGTTCGGAAGTGGCTGTGCGTTACGTTGGCCTTTAAGTAATAAAACTACTTGGGAAAGATGAGAGATGTGTGCTCACTGACCCAGAAGCAGCAGTCCTGGGGGCTGCAACAGCTGCAGAGGCTCAGAGTCTTCATCAGAGTGTTGTTCTGTGATTGACTGATAAACCTTCTCTGCTGCTGCTTTGTTTTTACATTTCTGAAGTAGGACATCTGGGACAACAGAAATAGTTTTGTCTGTCATCCCCATGAATCGGCATGGGCCCGACAGGGAGAATCTCTTATCAGATCTGGCAAACCTTATCTCCTCCCATGAACATTCAAGGTTTTGCTGCATCCTCAGTGTGGCTTAGAGGACAGATGAGGACTCGGCCTGTGAGATGTGTAGCTCTTTCTCAAGTACAGAAGTGTTTTCCTGTTGCTCATGTGGTGGTTTCTGTGTGTTTCAAGCTCCTCCCCGCCTCCATCTGTGTCAAAGGCATTACCGTAAGGCTCAGCATCTCCCCGGCTTGTAATAGTTGTGTGTGTGGGCACAAGCTAATGACACTCTTGTCCCTCTTTAGGACAGCAGCGATGAAGCACTGTTTTTACAATGAGACCGTGGGGTTCTTCTACAACAACAGCCGCAAAGAGCTGACCACGTACTGGAGGACGAAGGATGTCCTGGTGGTTGCCCTGGGCCTGACAGTGAGTGTCATCGTGCTCCTGACCAACCTGCTGGTCATCACCGCCATCATCATCAACCGGCGTTTCCACTACCCCATCTACTACCTGCTGGGGAACTTGGCAGCTGCCGACCTCTTTGCTGGCATCGCGTACATGTTTCTCATGTTCCATACGGGGCCCAGGACAGCAGAGCTCTCCCTGAAGACCTGGTTCATCCGCCAGAGCCTGCTGGACACCAGCTTGACAGCCTCTGTGGTGAACCTGCTGGCAATCGCTGTAGAAAGGCACCAGACTGTTTTCACTATGCAGTTACACAGCAAAATGTCCAACCAACGTGTGATGATCCTCATCTTCTGTATTTGGGTCACGGCCCTGCTCCTGGGGCTCATCCCGTCCTACGGTTGGCACTGTCTCTGTGCCCTGGAGAAGTGCTCCAGCATGGCACCGCTCTACAGCAGGAGCTACCTGACCTTCTGGGCCATCTCCAACCTGGTCATCTTCCTGATCATGGTGGTTGTCTACACGCACATCTTCATCTATGTCAAGAGGAAGATGACACGGATGTCCAAGCACACTAGCTTCCACCCCCGCTACAAGGAGACCATGATCAGCCTTGTCAAGACGGTCACTATTATCCTAAGTAAGTCCACTCCCTGTAGTCCATCTGGAGGATGCTTTGATCCTCCATCCTGGGTTGTGTGGGGCTGGAGAGGGGAACGTGTTTGGGACAACAGGGAGGACTGGGAAGTGACTTTCTGCTTCTCTGGTCTCTGAAGATCCTGGGGTGATGCTTTGGTTTGGCTGCTGAGGAACTCGACAGTTTTAGGACTTTGCATGAATTGTGTGTGAGCTGTAACCAGAGCGACCTGGCAGACAGAGGGGAGACGAGCTCCTGCACCTCTTCCTCTCTGACATGGCCACTCCTCTGGTTAGCGGGGACAAGAGGGACTGTTACTGGTGTGACGTGGTAATATCTGAGTCCTGAAAGCGCAGGTGCTTTGGGCAAAGAAGCAGCTCTTTCATGTGCTCAACTCTAGTTTGCTGCCACCATAGAAGAGCAGCATGGAACCAGGAGCTATAATCAGGCCTTAATCAAGGAGCAGCACTTGGTGCTTCCTTTATTAAAGGAAGGGGAGAGTTTTGGGGCAGATGTTACAAGGCAACGGGGAAAGAATGAGGGAGTTGCATCCAAATTCCTTACTGGTTACTGGAACAAAGCACTGAACTCTGTTCAGATTTTTTTTTTTTTTTTTTTGAGCAGCTCAGTACCGGGTCTCGATCTGCTCGGATAAATCCATCCCTGGGAAGTCTCAGCTCTTAGTTGGAGCTGCTCTCCGTGAGCAGGGGATCTCCAGTAGAGTGCTAACTGCCCTGTCAGTCTGTCTGCATCCACGGTCCATAGTGCAAAGACGAGCAGAGCAGTCACTGGAAGCGCCTGGTGCTGAGGCTCTGCCTCTCCAGGATATTTATTCGGATATGTGCTGTTTCTGCCCGGTGCTGTGCACCTAGCAGCAGAGGCTGGTGCTTTCAACAGCCTGTCGCTTCGTGATTTCTTTAATCTGCTTTTGCCTCGTGCTTTAACGGGCTAACCACCTTTCTTTAAAGCGAAATAAATCAATGCGCTCACGTCTTCCGCAGCCCAGCTCGACTCTGGGCTCACGGTCACAACCCCTTGCTTGCAAATCTTTCCTGATAAGCGCAGAATTTGCTCCGTCAGGGAAACCCCGTAGCCGCAAACAAAGACTACTCCCTTGCAAACTCCCACTGGCGGAGCGGGCTGGGCAGGGGGGGGAGCAGCAGCGTGGGGGGGCTGTGGGGCTGCTTGGTGTGTCCCTGCTCGGGGGCACGCCAGCTTGCTGGGTCCTGTTGTGACTTGTGAGCGCTGAAACTGGAGTTTTCTGCCCGTTCCTGCCTTTCCTCATGATGTCGTCTTCCCTGCCTCGCAATCTCTCCATCTCTCGTGCACAGCTGGGAGTTCATTACTGGCCAGAGGGTCGGCGGGGCTGAAGAATGATTTACTTCATGTATTTTGTGGAGTCCAGAGTGGAGAGAAAAGTTGTTCTGTTCCCTCTTCCCTCCTGGACGGCATCGGAGGGTCACCCTGTGCTGTCAGCAGGACTGCTTCATTTTCTGGGGCTTCACAATATCAACTGGAAGAGGGTCGGCAGGATGGGGACGCTGGCCAAGAAGGAAAAAGCGATTCAGGCTTGGTGCATCACCTTGTTTTGGGAGATCCCTTTCCTCTTGGTGTCCCCCGCTCCTGGCTTGCCCTGCCCTTTGTCTTCTGCCTCGAGAGAGGAAAATCTTAGGTCAGAGGAGGCTCAGAAGAGCTGCTGTGGTTCCCCAGGGAGTCGGGACTGGTCTGAGGAGGGATGGAGCGGGGAGGAACCTAATGTGGAAAGGTGAGGGAGAATGAGGAGTTCATAAGGCATTTGGGACTCTCGTAACCCAAGAGCGTTTCCCTTCTGTGGGGCAGCGTCGGAGAGAAGCAGCAGTCCATTCCGCACAGGTCCCTTTGCCCAGGAGGGAACAAGGGAGGGAATTGCTCAGTTCGGGGGGAAAACACCTTTCCACTCGGACTCAGCGTACAGAAAATCGAGACTGCAGAGGGTTTTTTTTCCCCCTCCCTGTGAAAGCCCTGGTGTAATGCCTTCTCCACCCTCGTTCCCCAGCCTTCTGCAAACTTGGACTCTGCACAGAGGAATGCTTTGCGCCTTATGCATCAGAGGGCGTAGCCGCTGGTGAGCGTGCGAGGAAGCAGAGGGTGCGGTAGGAGCTGTCTGTGCCACTTCATTGCAAAGCGAGGGAGCTGCGGTTGATAATCCGGCAGGTCCCGGGCATTAAGAACAGGTCTAGGAGCCGACCTGGAAACCAATAATGAGTCCAAGGTACACTTGGAAGCTAGAAGCAAATTTTCCCACAGACCAGTTGAGTGACACAGGATGCGATGACGACCAAACCACGGGGCAGAGTCGTTAGTGACCATGCTGTGTCAGATTATTAAGAGTTCAGGCTGCTTTCTGAATAGTTTAGCTTTCATTAAGGAGCAAGGAAACCATTTGGATTTGCAGGTGAAACCTTACGTACCTCTTTTTGGTTTCCCCCCTCATTTTTAATATTCCTCTGGCTTTACTTTGTGCTGCTGGGAGGCAGTCTCTAGAGATAATCTGGCTTTCCTGGGGATGCTGAAAACCTGGCTGAACAAAAGTTACACCACTACACAAGGAGGTCCCTCTCCTGCAGGCTCAAGGTAGAACTATTGGAGCTTCCTTCATGACAGCCAGGAATTAATTTTGTATATTTCCTAAATTTAAAGGAGGCAAAGTCCTATCTGCAAGTGCGGGGGAAAACTGCCTGGCGCAGATGTGGTGGCTGCTGTGCCGACCACCTGGGAGCATGAGTTGCTTAAATAAGGGTGACATGATGCAGTGGCCTGAAATCATCAGGGAACACTCCCAGAAACCCAGGAGATCCCTCCCAAGTGTTACTTTGACTCTTCACCAGGGCAGCGTTTCACTCAATGACAGCTTTAAATTCAGCCTTTCGGTTTTGGTGCAGCTCCTCTGGCTGCCGTTCTTCCCCGGCAGATGTTTTTTTCAGCAAAGGGTGTAGTTGCGAAGTTCCCAGCAAGTCTTGTTCTCTTCCACCCTTTCCCAGAAGACACAGCAGGGTGCAGCTCCTGTGCTTTAAGATACAACCTCACGCCTGACCTCCAGGAGCACTGAACGAGTGCTGCATTTACGTCAGCTTTAAAATCACGACCATAAAAAGGGCTTTAGGAGCCACAGGTACCTCCCACTCCGTCATGCAAAACAGCAATTATCCTTTTGCCAAAGAACTTTGCAGGTGGTGGCAGGAACATAGTCTCAGCCCGACTGAATCAGTGGTGGAGTCTGTCCAGGTCAGTCCTGGTGTCGGCCAGTCCATTGCTTGGCTATTTTCTGCTCAGCGTAGCGCTGTGGGACAGTGACTTTATGGGACTGCCCAAAGGGTTGCCCAGGACTCCTCTTAACTGAAGCCCCATAAACTGCACAGACAGTGGAGATGATGTTGTTCAAGATGATCTAGAACTGAACTAGAAGATCAGTGAACCTCCAACCAGGACAGTGATCCTCAAAGGCCCTTCCAACCTAAACCATTCTACAATTGTAAGATGTATCACTCAGACTCTTCCCTAATTTTACTGCCTGTTCCCCTTTTTTGGAGGGATTGGCATGTAAATATGAACCATGGACACTTTATCTTCACTCTGTAAACGTAACGATGGGAATGAGGGGAGGTAAGTGAAAGGACTCGGAGTGTTGTTCTGAGTGAATGGGGTGGGGGAAAGCCCCCAATGCCTCCATTTTAGTATTTGCTGGTTGAAGCCTTGGTCTTCCTCCAGAGCAAAAATAAAGAGTGAAACTATGGTTTGGGATTTTTTTTCCCCCTATTTAACTCTTCACAAGATAAACCACCGGTGATTCCACTGAGCATCTTTCTGGTGAGTGACTGGGCAGGGCCGGGAACCTGCTTTTTCTCTAACAGGGTTTCTTCTCTCCCCAGGTGCTTTTGTCATCTGCTGGACGCCAGGACAAGTTGTGCTCCTCCTGGACGGCTTGGGCTGCAAGAGCTGCAATGTTCTAGCCGTGGAGAAATACGTCCTTTTGCTGGCAGAGATCAATTCGTTGATAAACGCTATTGTCTACTCTTACAGGGACAATGAGATGCGTAGCACCTTCCGGAGGATCCTCTGCTTTGTCTGTTATAGGAATTCCAAATACACCCCCACGGTGGTGAAGTTAAACACCACGGACCGCAGAACACTTTCTCAGAACGGGCACTTTACTGTGGATTCCTCTATTTAGCTGTGGATCGGTGAGACGAGCGCGGTGCCGAGCAGCGGCCGCTTTCTGAGCGGAGGAGCAGAGGCTGAGAGCAACCTGCTTCTAAAGCAGTAGAGACGTCTTTTTATCTGCTCAAGCATAAATATTTGTAGAGAACACTTGTCACCGGTAAAGGACAAGATGCTTTTAAGGAACTGCTGGATGGTGCGTTATTTAGGACAAACGTACTTTGAGTAGTATTCTTATTAAAGACTGCTATTTCTAACGCAAAGTTGATTTAATTTAGCAGCATCTAGAACTACGCTGTGTGCAACGGGAATCGCGCGTGATCTCGCAACGAGCAAAGTATTTCCTTGGTACTTCAGTATTACTGCCTTCACAAACAGTCGTTCCAGCGGTAGCGTACTCCAAAGAGCCAAAGCTCTTCAGCTTTACGCGTTGCTTCCCAAACAGAGCTGCTTAGCGCTTCCCCAGAGAGTCTTATTCGGGTCGTGTTCCACCCGCTTCACAAGTCGTATTCTTCTTAAGGCCTCTTCCGAGAGGAATCTGTTTGAATTGCTTCCTGAGAAGCAGATCCCTGCTTTCCGAAGTGTCTGTTACTGAAATTCAAAGTGTTCTGGGCTGGGGAAGGATGTCTTAGGAGCACCTAATCCTTTCCTAAAATGGAGAGTGGTGCTGTAACTAGCTGCAGTTGTGTTTGTGTTCTGCTAAGCGATACCATGTGGCATTCACAAGTTCATTGCCTATTCATAAATGTGGAGTGAGTCATGTTCCCACTAAACCATCTTTCTCCTCGCTGAAAGCCCTTTGGGACAGGTTTAGGTTAGATTCCAAAGCAATCCGTATTTTGCCTTAGGTTTTAATGTGCGGTTTGTACCTTAATACTCAACTGCTCAAATAACATGTTAACGGGCTGTTCAAACGTAGCCTTTCTCTCGCAAAGCATCATCAGAAATTAGCAGTATTAATTAATATTAGTGCATGTAGGGTCTGCCGTTCTGAGTAAGTCCATTTGCTGCATGTGACGTGCCCTGTAAACTGTCACCCTCCATGGTGAGGCCACGGCTGGAGGGCAGAGGCTTTGCCCGCAGAAGAATATTCACGGCTGAGAAACTGGAAATACTTCTCTAGGTTTCCTTTACCTTCACGTGGCTAAACTTTTAACAGTGTGAATGTGCCCGTGTCAGTCCAAAATCTAAAGTTAGTGGCTTCTGTGAGAGCAGGGAGAGGCTAACAGAAGGCAGGATTTGAAATATTGTCTAAATTTATAATTTCAGTTTGGTTGGTTGGTTTTTTTTAATAAAACAGCCCTGTTCTGTCAGATGATCAGCTTCTTGACTGATCACCTCAGCTGGCTTTGCAGAGAAGAAGACTTACTGGAGGCATTGTTTCTCAAATATGTGTGTATGGACTTTTTTTCTTGCAGAACGTGGTCAGGAAGTGACAGTGTTAAGATGACAGTCTCCCAGACTGACTACAACAGTCTTGGAATACGGTTCCCACCTCCGTGTCCCAGAGACTTTTTGAATAAATACGTTGTCCTGGGTTTTAGGAAAAAAAGACTTGGAATTTTTCCCCTGTCTCCCCGTCTCTGAAGCCCTGGGACGAACACCATCCTCCAGTTGTGCGGTGTGACGCTGGATGGGAGGGATGCTGGCCTTGACGCTTGCGTGCACTGCCACGTGCCGCGCGGTGGCCCTGCTGCTGATCTGCCTCCGTGGTGGGTTGTCCGTGGGCATCTCGCAGGACCGTGCATGTGTGCCTGGAGGGGTGACAGCCCCCAGAAAGACCGTGAGGAGAACTGGAGGAAGTAATTGTCAGCCAGAGCAGGGGGTAAGACTGCAGCCTTGGTGCAGTGTTTGCAGACACCAGGCTTGGCTGCTTTGGGGAAACTTCACGCTGTTTAAGTGTACCACGTGGTAAGGCTAAGAGAAGGCATAATTTTATTTTTATTGCCAAAGAAGACTTCTAGTTACCTTCACTTTCTCTGGAAAATACTGTTATTGGGATAGAGGTGTACACTGCGTGTACACACGGCAGTGGAAGCAGATGGTGAACGAGCAGTAGCTGGAGGAAGGCAGTAACAGTGAATGCCTGGAAAGCTCTTACTGGGAGTGCTGGAGCTGGGGCAGAACCAGGGTAGACCTTCTCTGCTTTCCTGAACACCCCCAAAGCAGGAAGCGCACGAGTCCTGCTTCATGCAAAGCTGATTTTACAATTAAATACATGCCAAGATCTGCTTTTATTAACAAAGGGAGGGGGAAGGAGGAAATCTGAAATCTCACGCTGCCAAAATGTGGGATTAGTACCAGTCTGATTTAAGCGGGGTGCGTGTAAGGAATTGACTGTGCCGCGTTTGGGTGCGAATGAATCTTTGTAGCGGGCGAGACGACACTTGGCTCCTGAAAGAACTGCAGTTGGCTTTCATGCCCAATTGGGCCTTTAATAAGCTGTACGCGTTCTTCCCTGAGGGATCTGGACGCTGGCCTGACCTCAGCCTTCTGCCGGCTGCTCGGCGAGCTGCGTGTTAGCGGCACGATCCCGCGCTGACAAGCGCTTTTGTGCAAGTACCTGCAGCGCAGGCAGACTTGACGTCGCTGCCAGCGGCCTCTTGATGCTTTATGGTCTCCTTATAGAGAGGATCACCTCTGAGGGGGGGGGTTCACTACTCTAAATGGCTTATTTAAATTTAGCATAACTGCCAAACCAGTACCAATACTAAACAACTGTCATACGCAGCACTAATGGAAAGTCTAACAAGGATTTGACCAGTTTGTCCCAAGCAGAATATCCTGACTACCCGGAGGATGTCAATGCTTTCTGCATAAAAATGGTCTCTGCTGAATAATGGTAACTGAACATACAAATGCAGCTCAATGCCCGATTTCCCAAAGGTAAATAGCAACTGATTAGTTCAAGAAGGAGGGGGAAAAAAAAAAAAAAAAGTCCCAAACCTTTAATGGAGCTCGTTTCTGAGCGATGGCTGGCACCCATCAGGAACGGAGGCGGGTTGCCTGGAATTCTTCAATGAGCTTTCTCTTCCCGAGGGACTTGGGACCCTTGGATTTCTACTTGTTTCCAGCTGGCTGTAACAGAGGAGAGAACAGCAAATTAGGAGTCATAGAAACTAGCCTGGAAAGAGCGCCGTTTTCAGTGAGATTTGAAAAGAAATGGTGAAATGAGGCAGAAGAGATAGGAGACGGATTATAACAGCCCTCCTAGCAACAAAGGTGAAGGGAGAGGGGGAGACATAAATGGTGTATATAGAACATGCGACACAAAAAAAGAGCAGTTTAGGCTGTTGGGTATTCTGCTTGACATTACTTTCTAGTTTTACTTAGGAACACAAAGCTGTGTGTAACCACAGCAGGCAGGAACCACGTCGCGCTGTGTTTTCCACCCGCCGCTCTGTGTTCTAAACAAGATGCTGCAGCGACGGGTGTGGTGTTACCCGATTACACGTTCGTTTCCCAAAGCTGCTTAGAAGACTTTAAGTATAACTTTATCATTGTGCGCAGAGCTGCATGTTCCCGAGTTCACGGGATCGCTTGGGTTTTAATTCGCAATCCACAACCTATGGTGTGTTTAGCTTAAATGTGGCCATATCCCTCTTTTCAGTTTGCAAAGACCCCCTGCCTCTTTTAAAATCACAGTCTGAAACTGCCTTTGCAGGTTCATTGCTGGTTTCATCAAGCTTTTTTTTTTAAGAGGAAATCTCCCTGAAATTAGTGTGTGTTTAGGGGGGTTTAATCTTGTTTTTTTCTTTTCTTTTCTTTTCTTTTTTTTTTTGAGGCATGTGAGATTTGTTCTAGACTTATTGCGCGTTGGGTGGGAAGAAGGAAGAGACACCTAGGAACTATTTGAAAGGGATCAAATGCGGGATGAGTGAGAACACACAACTTGATCAAAGATAGGCCGTGCGGTTCCAGGAATGAGAGGTCATGCCTTGCTGACTGGTTGGAATTCCTGAAGTAAGCTGCTGCCAAAAGTAATAGGGATTTTGGTGTGTTTTTTGGGGAGGGTAGCACCGGAGACTAATACTGTAGGGACTGATGGACTCCAAAGGTTTATTTTATCGGAGCGAAAAAAGAATCCAACAACAAAAAAAAACCTGCAGGAAGGGGTAAGACAGAAGAATAAGGGGGAAAATGAGATTAATAACAAGAAGCTGTTGATGGTGGGGTTTTTCTTTGTTTTTAAACTTCAGTCCATCGTCTTTCTGACCTACTGAGACATGGGAAATGAAAATCAAAGTCTCTGCTAGACTGTAAGCGTAGCCAGGGCAGAAGTTGAGCCTTTGTGCTGAGTCTTGGGCAATACTGGACTATCAGGGCTGAGAGCTTATTTTTTTTATGTGCGAGGATGGCCGGTCCCCCACTCTGCATGACAGGGGCAGATAGTTTTGGAGCCCACCCATAGGCTGGTGTGGCGCTCCCCCAGCCGAAGGCCAGCGAGGGGACCACGAGCACCTAAAGCTTTTACGGGGTGAGTTCTTCTTGCCGTAGGACACACGTTAGATCAGTTACGAAGTGAAGCCTGGTATCTCTCTGCAGTGGATCGGCGTGCGCGTAGACAAGATAATTTACAAAAGGTCACACTGAGGGTGTAATAATTACTTCCCGTGGTATTTCTGTGAAAAGCTGTTCTATAAAAAGCGCTGTGTTTAGCTGCGGCGGTTGGGTTTCATGAGTCCGCGCTGCCACATGATACGCGAATGTAAGTTCTGTGAGCCAAAAGTGAGAAGAACCCGTGTCTCATCTCATCTGAAAGCTGTTGCAGCCCAGAGTCCAGCTTCAAACGGAGTTTTTGGAAGATGCTTCTCTTCTAACTGGTGGTTTTGAGCAGGTGTTGTCCTTACGCTGTGACTGTCACGGCAGGCACCAGAAGGAAGAGGTAAGGAGGGGCTCTGATTTCCCTGCATTTCCCAGCAGGGAAAAGAAAACTGTCCATCAGTTGTTCACACCCATTTCCTGATAAACCTCACCTCAGAATCTCTTCTGTAATGGTGACAGAGCATTTGG